TTTGTCGTGGTGCGGGCAGTGATATCGCTACCTGATACCTTCATTATGGCATTCACACTTGTTGACTGCTGCTCACCGGATTTGCCTGTTGCTTCTGGATTAAGGGGCTTTACTTTTCCTTGTTTTGCCGTCTTGGTGACCCCAGCACGTGCCTGATCCTGAACGCCCTTCGGACTTTCCACCCCTAACGCATTCAACTTCGGAACTGATGGTTCTGATTTACTGGAGGGCTCCCCATTTGCATTCTGTCCTATTCCGGATGCCGCATTTCCTTTCAGTAATGCATCAGCATCCGTACTTGAATCCCGTACCTCACCAAGCTTTTCCTGCGCTTGTGAGTCAGTGGCCGGCAAATCGGCCTCTTGTTGAAGTTTAATTTCACTTGCTGTCGCACACACGGACAGGCAACAGCACAGGGCGAGCACCAACAGGGCGCACAGCAGACGGCACGTCATCATCGTGAGTGTGGTCGCTCAGTGGTGTGGAGCTGATCTGCACAGTGTGGGACATGGAGAGCAACAGGGGAGACGAGAGGTGCGGCAGAAACACACAGAGAGGGCACACCACATGAGGAGAGGGCAGCAGCCAGGCATGCACCGTACGCCGCACACCACGCACACACACACACTCCAACCCACGGCAGCAGGCACACACACACACAGCCCTGCCGCAACACCAACACACAGATGGAAGAGGGAGAAGCAAACAGGAGCGGCACACAAGGCTCCACCGCATGCACATACGGCGAGAGCGGTCCGTCGTGTCGGCACCCCTCACAAAGAGTACGCACACACACAAGAAGGTGCAGCGCACACAGCAACACAAAAGCAAAGTAACAATTAAAAAGGAGAGATCCCCGCACACCACGTGGATTGTTGGTCCACGGGAAGCGCAGCCAATATTTATCACAAAATAACTTTATATATTGTTTTTGTCGTGCCGGAATGAGTGAGTAGCGCAAGGGCCGTCCGTACAAAATTGGAAAGCGTTCCGTCGCAAACGGGCCGTATCGCGGGCTGAGGCGGTCCCAAACATTCGCAGTCCTTATTCCCAACGACGGGGGCATTACCACAGTGGATGAGGCAGAGTCTACTGTGTTCCGTCGGGGATCAGCAGCACGTGGCGTCTGTGATGAGGCGGTGGCGGAAGGGCCTGGTCCATCTCGAGTACCCGCGTTTGTGCTTCCTGCGTGTCTTGCCTGCTGGCGTGCTTGGCAACTTCGGTGGAGACCTGTGCGCAAGATGCCTGCTAAGAATACGGCGGAGCCATTGCGGCATCCGCATTTTAGGCCCTCTCCCACTATCGGAACGCCAGGCCGAGCACGTCGGGCGTGTGCCGTCATACTGTGGACGGACGAGCGCACTTCGCCGCAGATTGAGCGGGAAGACGTCAATCCGCCG